CAGAGAAGACTCCTCGACATTCCGCAGACGGGACCGAGTGAAAATCGGTTTGACCCGACCCTTTTCTTTTCATTTCTTTTCCCGGGAAAGCCACGGACCACTCCCCTTTGCGCATACACAGAGCGAATTAAGCCGGCCGTTGTTTGCAGAGTTTAAAAGAAGTCATAAAAATCAATTGCAATTAATCAAGCTGCATGCAGCACCGCCTCCCCGCGCCCGCAGCTCCACCCAAATAGCAGCAACTTCATTATAAAACGACATGAGGCATCCACCCAGCCACCAGCATCCCACCTCCTTGTCCACCAATATCGGGCATTAGCCAAAAAAAAAAAAAAAAAAAAAAAAAACTCGAGAAAAAGAAACAAATTAACTTTGGCTTCGCAACGGACAACAGACAACCATTTCAGCCTTGTCTTCTCTTGTCTCTCGGATTTTTTCTTGGCTTTTTCACTGCCTTTGGCCCCTTGTCTTGGCCAGAAGCAGCAGCTTGACAGCCAGACAGACAGATCGGGAAAAAAGACAGAGATTTTCACACCACCAGCCATTTTTATTACGACATTTTTGAGGCATTCGTCATAGGGAATGCATTTACAAACGAGACGGAAATAAGCTTCTTATGCTCCAAATGCATTAGTTTTTAATTTCTTTATTTCGGTTCTGTTTTTGACTGTGCTCAGCTCGCTTTCCCACACGCTGTCAATACACAAAAACAAAGTTTTCCAACCGATTTTCGCGAAAGCAGAGGAAGGAGATCTCCGATTTCTACTTTTACTTGTGCGCTGAGTAAAGACGAATTTTGACAGTTCGTTAATTAGAAAACTGTCGAAATGAGTTTGGCGTTGAAGTTTATGAAGCTCAACGCCAGTGCAAGATAATTCGAGGCGGAAATACTCTTACTACTTACAAGCGATCTACAGATTATCCTTTGGAGGGACAAGCTAGGTTGTGCTTTGGTTATAATTTATGAACTTTAATCATGCTTAGTCATATTAATGATGCCCAAGAAAATATAATTAAAATCAAGCGTAAACGAAAGTTAAATTTAATTTCAAACCGAGAGGCCTACAACAAAGTGCTGCTGGATATTGATAATGATTTGGCTTGCACTTTGGGCCAGCCACGCCCCCTTGGTGTTGTAATTAATTGACGGCGGCGGGTAAAAGGGAAATCTGGGAAAGCCCCTCGATATGTTATGTGTGCAAACATAAAACAATTATAGCAGCAGCAATTGGGGGATAAGAAAGGGGGGGCAGCTGGAGTATGAAAATACCCTAGAGCCGTGTCGATGAAGAAAGGCCATGAACGGAGAGAGAAAAATCGAAAAACTAAAGCCAAACTAAATCAGAGCGACAACTATCACTTTGAGCCAAGTATTTTCTATATGCACAACCCGAACAACTTTTACCCGAAAAGGTTGTTTTCAAATTTCGCCGTTGTTGTTGCAGCAAGCCTCATGCCACATTACCTTTCGCTCGGATTCGCCTCTTCCTCCCTGCTGCTGCTAGCTCCTTTCATTCCACCATCCCCCTCCTCGATGTACATTAATTTTTGTCATCATCCAGGACGGGAGAAGCCAAGGCTCCGTGGACTCCTCCAACTGGGAGCCACCTGCGCACTCCCAACTCCACCTGGCTAGCTGACTCGCTGGCTGACCAGCGGTCTTGTTTTGTCGCCGATCTCCCGACTTGGTCAACATTTGCCCGCGGCGCCTGGTGTGTGAAAGGTTTTCCAGTGATCCGGCGATCAAATGGGGCAGGGGACTGGAGGGCGCCAAGATTGGTCCATTCGATTTGGCTCATATTTCAAACTGAGCCAAGCTATTAAGTGCCCAGAAAAATTGCAAACCTACCGTAGTGCAACACAAAACAGAAAAATACTGCAGACACTTGATACTATTTTCATTGCCTATATTTCCTAATTTATTTATGCCAATAAAACGGTCACCTTAAAGCTCAATTCGTTTTCATACTTAAGCAATAGTCTTGGCATTTGATAGCTCCAGTCAAAGGAGAACAACTAAAATACCGACGTTCTGACGGCGAAAATGGGTTAATTGCGAATTAGCCCATTGACGGGAGGATTCCAGGGAAGCCAGACCACAATGCGTGTGGAAAGTAAATGGCCAAAACCAGCTCAAACGGAAGCCATGCCAAAATAAACTGCGACACTTACCGGGGACAATAATGCTGGGGGAATTGAAATGTGTACAACCTGTGGTCATTAAAAGAGCAAAGCTTCCCAATTTGGTGACCTTTTTTGTGCTATTCGGTTGGTTTAGCCGGCGTGTGGATGGTAATTAGTCTTAGTCTAGCCCCGGCTAACTAGCTAACTGGCTAACTTGCGGCCATTAAGATCGTCGGCATATCTTGCCCGCTTTGGCAATAAGTGCATGAATATTGTGCCCGAATGCCGCATGTGGCATGGGCCAAAGTCAAACGCAACTTTCGCTTTCCATTTGATCGGGCCGCATTCGGTAAGTTGGTAAGTTGTAAGTTCACATGCATGGCCGGCGGCTTAACTGTTTAAATAATTATTACTTGTTCGTCACTTGCGCAAAAATTGCCCATTTACCGTTGCTTTGTTAGTTTTTCCTCTCAACCCTGCCGGTCCAAAAAAAACAAAAAAAAAAAAAGGAAAACATGAAAAAAAAAGATCCGACAGAAAATAATGAAAACAAAGCAGGAGAAACAAGTCTTTGTCAAAAAAGAAAGAGTTAAAAAAAGAAGAGTTTTACGCTACGCTGATTATGCTAACAAGCCTGAAGACATTTTAATAAGAACACTTTGCACACAGAGGCCAGGCCTTATAAATAGAGTGTGCGACAGTTATGATCGCAATTACCCCACACACCAACCCAACCCGAACTGCGATTGCGAGTGCCAGCTATTCCAGCGATTTCCCCACGCGACGCCACTCGCAGAGCTCCAGTACACTGGAAAGTAATTATTTGAGAAGAGATATCATTATAACAGATCTCAGCAGCTACAGGATCTGGAACTGAAATTGATATATAAACATAAGGCACTTACTATTATATAGCACCCTTATACTACATCAATATGATATCATTATTACACACCTGAAGTTTGAAAATCTTCAGTACAACTTCTATAACTCAGCAATTACTCCCAGGCACTTAGGATTCTATAATCTGATGAAAACACTAAACGTTTGTCATGCAGCATTGATTTCCATCTCGGAAACGTTATGGGGTTTTCTCTCCGTGTAGGTAAACTGACTCCCCCTTTGCACCTGTCCGCTGGTCGAGCAGTTCACACACTTGCGCCGGCCGTTTAACGGTTGTTTTGCCTTTGCGGCTGCGCTTTGGATACTTTGTCATGTTCCGAGGGCCAAGAAGAGTTTGGCCAAGAAGAAGCCGCCGTGCAGTGTGGTATAATTAATTAGGCGCAGCCACAGCCTTCCTCTTCCGTCGGGGGCACGCGAATGGGGTTGCACTTTCTAGCAGGAAGACGACGCACCTTTGGCTGCAAGCACCCACTTTTCCCTTTTCCGCTGCACTCAATTCAATTCTAGCCGTAGAAAGTTTTAATACCCGAAATGAATGCTAAACTGGGAATTGCCCCTATTATTTACGCTCATTGTTTGTGGGGCCCCAAACACTTTAGCTTTGTTTAAGTCAACAGCAATCGGCCGTAATTACAATGCAATTTTGTTAATTATCACAAAAGTGTAACAAAAGTAGCTGGAATCGCTTGGCGACTCTCACTTTCCTGCGAAGAGGAGAAGTGCGTGCGTTGGAGATGGTGCATAAAAACGCAATCTTTTAGCCCACTGAAAGCCCGCTGATTTGATTGACGCCCTGAGGAAGGCGTCTCGCAGTGGTAAACTAGCAATGGCCAAGAGAGCGACCAAAAGCAAATGTTGACAAGTGAATGGTCTTTGGCTTTCCGAGCCTAGGGGCAAATCCATCCACCACCAAGAGATGGAAGTTTAGTTGCTGCAGAAGTTGGTAGCATCCACAGTTCAGCTAACTGTTGCAGAGTTTAATTGACGTCTCATGCTGGCGGCGGTAAAATGCATTCGCAGAAACCTCAGATACACTCGGATAGCCGCTGCCTTCGATGGCTGACAGTGCGGTTCACGTGTGCAAGACAGCCAAGAGTTTGGCCAAATTAAAAGATCAAATGTCTGCGTTATGGCGGTGAAGGAAATATGGAAAAAATTACACTTCATAACAAAGAAATTCAGGAACTTTGAAGTTTGTACTGAAAGAAGTATGTAGTATCAAGTTAAAAATAAAGTTCTAGTGCCATCATAAATGTAGTGAAAATTCTTGTAAATTATTTAAACACACTCTTAGACTTCGTGAGAATGTATATTATTATTTTTCCCCCTGATACTTTAAACAATTATTATAACACGTATTTTCGCTTGGTCCTGCTGCGTTGCCTGGGCCAATTTTAATAAACAACGATTACCCGCAGAGCTGTGGCACCACTTGGGCCTTACAGCTCCGTCCGGCACTGTAGCCGGGGGTTTTGGGCAACGTTGCGTGGACGGCGACGGACTGACTGACTTGACTGACTTGACTGAGTACTGAGCACTGAGTGGCTGGTGAATGCCACAAAGCATAACATTTTTGGCCAGCCTTTTGTCTCGGCTGCAATTCTTTATGCCAGGGTTTCCACTTAATTGCGATGCAGCTGGAGGATGGGAGATGCATCTTGGCGTGACTTCTAATGCCCATTGAGTGCTCACCCAGGCAGCTCCATCTTAAAGTCGATGAGTGGTGCTCCACCGCCTCCTCCGGCAACTCCAGCTCTAAGTCCATCTCCAACTCCTTTGCCATTTCCAGCCGCAGTGATGATGATTAGACACAGACATTAAATGCATTTCCCCGCGCTTAAGCTCAATGTGTTTTCCTCATCGGCGAGCGTGTGGAAATTTGTGAATTATGCACTGTGCCATATCAATTACCGAGCGTAAAAGAATGAGCTTGTAATTAACGAGTCTCTCCTCTTCCATTTTGTTTCTTGCAGGGTGCTGAGGCCCCCGGGCGGCGGATCGAGCGACATCTTTGGATCGGAGATGCCGCAGACCCCCAGGAACGTGAAGAATCGCATGGCGTCCAACATATTCGCTGCCGAGAAAGATAATGGAGTGAAAAACAACGGTAAGCTTAGGGTCTAAATACCACTCAATATCATACCCCATGCATATGTGATGTGTGATCCCCAGCAATCTAAAAAAAAATTAAATCAACCTTAGTTGCTTGCTCTATTATTTGATTGGGAAATTGTGCCCATGTGCCCATGATGAGATGTCTATAGATAATGCCGTGGATTTTGGTCTATTAAATGCTTATTAAATGTGTATCGTTTTCTTCCCGTTCTCGTTCTTCTTTTTTTTCCTACCCCTGCTCTATATCTTTTCTTTTCTACGTATCTTTGCAGTACGACAAGGAGCTCACAGATTCTATTTCATTGGTACTTGAACTATGTCTCTCCTTTCCTAATTCATGTCAACAATTGCACAGAGTCCTCACCCAGAGTTAACCCAAAATTGTGTTCACTTTGCTTTGTGTTGTCGTCAGTTTTGTGCTAATTTATGTTCCAACGCAAGTTCTCCAACTGCACCGACACTCCACTAAACCCAGAACTCTGCTCACCCACTTCCCACAGATATACTGACCCACTCCACTCCCACTCGAGAGTTGCATTCCCAACCGGTTGGCTTGCTTCCTTTTTCCACCTGCTGCCGATGACATTTCGAGCTCCAGCAGATAAAAGCCGAAAAGAACTCAAGGCTGCTTTTCTCATTCAATTTTGGTTAACCTTTGCCATACAACACACAAAGAAAAAAATATCAAATCGTGTTTTCTTTAAATATTTGACTAAAATAAAATTAAAGGGATAAAATACATTCCTTTAATGAATTGAAAGTATATAAATTTGAAACTACGCATTTTATGATTTCTCTCAGTGTACTTACCCATCCAATGTCCAAATTATGTACAAGTTTGTGAAACACAATTAAGAAACTAATTTTAACATTCTACTGCAACACAACTCCACTAATTTGAACGTTTTATTTTCTTTGGTTTCCCCAATTCATTTGATTTCTTTGGATTTGTTACTCCCGCAACCGTGATGACCAACCGACCACCCAACGATGACCGATGCGCAGGTGATGCACCACGTCGCGGCCAGAAGACCGTCGACTCCCACAATCGGCTGTTTGGGGAGCCCACCCGCCCGATCACCCCCGGCAAGAATCACATGAAGAGCAGCATTCCTTTTGGCCAGAACACAGAGGCCGTTGCCTCCGCCCAGAAGCTGCTGACCACCAATGGCCACTACAACGGCAAGAGCGGATCGGTGTCCTCGGCCTCGTCTTCGGTGTCGTCTTCCACCGAGAACCTCAAGATGAACAGTGGCTCGAGATCAGGTGAGAATCGTTATCGTTACCTCTAACTTTGGCTGGGAAGTAGTAGTCGCTGGATTTGAACTCGATCGAAGAACTGAGCTGTCAGATTGGTGAGCCAGCCAACGACTGGATTTCCATTCAGTACGAGCCCAGATCACGTAGTAGCTACACCGATTATAACCAAAGCGCTTTAAAACAAAATTCTATCCATCAATATAAGTTCTGAAATAGGCTCTTCTGCATTTATAAATTTCTTTATATATATATATATATATTTTTTTTTACTGCACACGCACGCACTTAAAACGTTAAATCGAATCTCGTATCGAACCAAAACCCCAACTTGGCTGTTGAATTGTCGTGCGACAGTCTTCCGCAATATGAGCAGTGAGTACTTGTAGTGTCCAATGTCCACTAGGACTCCCTCCTCATCCCCGATTCGCTTGCCCCCGCTCCTCGTCGATCTCTCCGCTTAGCAGCAGCAGGACCAGCCGTCAAAGAAACATCTCTACCCGAATCCTTGTGTCCCCCATCACCGGTCCGAATCGAACCACCAACCCCACCGGCTGACGCCCTGTCCATTGATAATTCGTGCCGAGATAGCGAAATAGGAGACGTGCCGGCCGATAACAGCACATACACAAAGTCCGATCAGGTGAACGAGGCCTGTCAAACTCGCCGAGACTCTGGAAATAATCCCGAACAGCCTCACTCGCTGGACAAGATGGCAGGCGTGGCCAACATAAAGGAGCCCCTCGGCCTCTGTCCGAACGATGTTAAAGAAGGGGCGCAGGCGTGCTCAAAACTCGATTCACGCAATCCGATCACGGGTCTTGGCCTCAACGGAGATGGTGTTGGCGGCCTCAAGCCCAAGAAGCTCAAGATTCGAGGTGGGCGTTTGGTTCTGGTTGTCGCTTCCAATCAAATTCCTTTTCCCAAACTCCGACAGAACATAGCCAATCCCTAAGTACTCTTATTAGTTGCGCCTCAATATGAGCTTTCGTTTTCTTGCCACTTAAATTTGATGTACTAGTTTGGTCTCAAAATAGTCAAATTTGCTAATGAAATTCCCTTATTTTCACAGAGGGCAACCCCGTAACAGGCGAGGGCTACAAGGCCGGAGGCAACGACTATAACCAGCGCCAGGAGTCGTCCAATGCCGGCACTCCGGTGATCAACAAGAACCGCATTCCCCCAGGCGGCTACTCGTCGGGACTCTGGTAATGACAACCGGAATTGCTCAGATCCCAGCACAAGCAATGAGGGGCCGATGGCGGGACGAGACACCATAAGAAAAACCAACAAAAGCTAACAAAAAAAATCATACTACCCATATAATATTACGCATAACCCTACCCTTATCCGTACCCAAGAAAAAGAGCTCAAGAAATCGAAAGGCAGGATGGCAGGATGGCCAACGAATAATTAAGCGAGAGAGATTAACAATTGCTCAACGATCTGAAGATGCAATAATGAGCGTCCCTGCTGAACACCCAGACGAGAATTAATCAACCACAAAACCTATAACTACCAAATCACCACACCACCACCCCATTGCAAATCTGTAATTTAAATTCCTTAGTTGGTGTAATTCCATGGAACGCGTGTAGCCCCCACAAAATAGCGCCCACGTTAAAGCATCTGATCCCCTGCCCGCTGCACTTGCGTATTATATATGATATTCCGGTTAGGTAGGACGCCGCACACCTACATCGTTACCCCGGTGTGTGCGTAGGTGTGTTTGTGAGGGGGAGCGGGAAGCAAGGATGCGAGCGGTGACAGGCGGATGGGGTCCTTCAAACACACCTGGATTTTATTTTAGTTGCTACTACACGCCACATATATTTATATTTATACCAACCGCATTCACACGAACACTCACGAAAACACATACATTATAAACATTGTATTACATTACATTAAATATGTAATTTAAACGGTACGCCCGCACTTTCTAATGTGCACGTACTAATTAAGTGTAAAATACAAAATTCAAGCGCGAATATTTGTTCAATAAAAACCTTTCGTACATAACTGAGCTTTTTGTCTTTATTAAAAAATGTTGCCGGGCAGAACAGGATGGAACTATTGAATGCTTTCATGGACTTTCTTGACGGAAGTTGTAAAGTTTGTTTTTGATTTTGCGCGCCCATCAGCTAAAATCGCCGATAAACTATCGATAGGCACGCTGCTGGATATCGATGTTCACTGTCATGGTCTGGCAGCACCGTGCAACGCCGTCATAGTTTATTCGCGGCCCGTAGCTCTGCGACGCCGCAAACAAAATGGCTCTGATTTTTGCAGACTACAAAAAGTTTTAGTTTTAGCCATATTTCCAATGCCCCAGTGGGCGAGAAGCCGATGCTAAACGACCCAGTGAGATGTGTGCAACTGCAGCGCCTGTACAGATGGAACCTGGTGTGCACAATACCTCAGAAGAGCTCTACCAAGTGAAAAACCAGACAGCCGTCGTTGTTGCCAATTGTGGCATATAGGATACGGAAACTAGTTCTCACTCACACACGCACTCACACATTGAAGTCACTAAAGACGCGAGCTGTCGCAGAAAAGCCTCTTCCCTGTCAAAAGATGGAGGGCATGGATCTGTGGACGTCGATGTTTTCCGCCGACTTCGAGGAGGGTGAGCCGGAGAGCGTGGTGACGGAACTGGAGGACAGCGAGCAGTACGGGAATGGCAATGACGACTTCCTAGGCGATACGGAGATCCTAGATTCAGGCGATGCCATCGATGACCTGCTAGATGGCGAGGATGATGAGAGAGAAGAAGAGAATGACTACGAAAAGAACTCCAAGGGGCCAGAGCAACCCGACCCCGACGACGATGCGCTCTTTGATTTTAATATGGAACCCATTGTAGATATAGCGGAGCCACAGAATCCCTCGTTGGCTCCTGCAGGTCCCATGGGCCACCAAGTGCGTGCCACAATGCAGCGACAATCCTTCCCCGGAACTTTGGGTCGACCCAGAGTGGGTCCCGGAATGTCTGTACGACCCACCACCTCGCAGATCAATGCAACGGACGAGAACGGAGTGCCAATTAATTACGAGTTGGGCGTAGTCTACATATGCCCCGCCTGCGGAGGAGAGTTCCGGCAACAGGACCACTGGAAGCGGCACATGAACCACATCCACAAGTACAACACCCTGCGTGGCTTGAACTTTACGCCGCTGGACAAGCTCTATCAGCGTTGCAGGGAGTGCAACAAACGGATTGCCATGCACAGCCGCGAGAATCTGCTTAAGCATAAGTTTACGCACCTGCCCTTCAGGTGCACCAAGTGCTACATCTGCAAGCGGGAGTACAAATACAGGTACGGCAATGAGTATCCTATTCGCAGCCTCCTTCTTAATGTTATTCTGTACTAAAGGCAAGATCTAATGGTTCATCTCCGCATGGTCCATTGCGATGAAGTGGTGGCCATGATGCGTGAGGGTTACAATGCGGCGGGACGAAAGACACGGGTTCGAGAATCCCGCACCGAGCAGCTGCTGCGGGACAAGAGCTTCCGAGAGAATGATGACCTTGGCGAGGATTCTGATCGCATAGAGGTGCGGAATGAGCTGCTGGAACCGGATGTCGATGAGTCTGGCACCCAGGAGCAGTCCTTGTCGGAAGAGGTTTCCAAGAAAAAGGCTGGCAGCCGAGGAGCAGCCGAACTGTGCGAGGATTACATACACTACATGTGTCCCGACTGCGGGACAGAGTGCGAGACCCACGCCCAATGGAGCCAGCACATCGAGTTTGTCCACGACTACGTCAGCCGGAGAGGACTTAATTTCCGCAGCGTGGACATGCAGATGCAGTGCCTCGAGTGCAAAAAGGTGAGATGAGCTGTTACTAAACTATTATTCTTTGATTTCTAAACCGAACTTTCTTTAAGCCATTCATTTAAATTATTTCACCTTCCATTTTATAGATTGTGACTCCCAATACCATTAAAACACTCCGAGCCCACAAATTCAGCCATTTGTCGCAGCCTGAGTGGCTGCGCTGTAAACTCTGCTACAAGGGTTACACGGATCATCAGGAAATAATCAGACATCTGCTGCAGCAGCATCATATGGATACGCTTATGTCGGAGGACGCCGAGGAGGAGGATGGTGAAGCCCCATTGGTCATAGTGGCGGACGATGAATGCGTCGAGGATAATGGAAACGGCGAGGGAAATGGTGCACCCTTGGACGAGGATTCGCCCTACTTTGAGGACGCACCTAGGCGCGGCGGTCGCATCAGCAGCGACGACATATTCGAGCCTCACATCGACTACCTCTGTCCGCAGTGCGGCAAAGAATTCATCGAGAAGAAGCACTGGCGTACCCACGTGGTCATGGCTCATAGCATGAACGATCTGAGCAAGCTAAATTTTGAAATGATAAACGAACGGCAACTTAAATGCACTGAGTGCGATAAGATCATAACCAATGCGTATGGAATCCAGAATGCCCAGCAACACAGGATCACGCATCTTCCATTCAAGGCCTACGCCAGGTGCCGCAAGTGCCACAAGTCCTACACGGACCGGAAGGGTCTCGTAAAGCATCTGGCTACCCATCATCGCGTTGGTTGGCCACGAAAGCATTCGGGAGGATGCCCAGCTCCAATTCTTACACCCTCCAAGCAGCCACGCAAACAGATAGTAACGGTGGCCAATGAAACATACGAGATAATCTATCTGGACGACGTTGACCAAGGTGGAATGGAGGAGGATAACGACTTTGGCGAACAGATGCAGGCGGAAGAGGATGAATACCCAATTGCGCCGCCTCCACCACCGCCACAGCCAACATCTCAAGGAAATCACCATCGCTACAAGTGCGTCCATTGTGGCACACTCTTCGCCACCCAGGCGGCTGTCCGTGTTCATATTAGCGAAAAACGTTGCAGGAAGACAGTGGTCAGAAGGCGTCGACAACCAATAATGAACTCTGCAGATCCATCCGTTCCCACAGTAGAACAAAATTACATCTTCTTGTGCCCATCCTGCGGATTTGAGTACAAGACTCAGTTCGAGTGGCGCCGTCACATCAATGAGGTGCACAATTTTGACAAGCGCCAATATCTAAACATGCGGCAGTTGGATAAGTATCGCTACCAATGCACCCAGTGCAAGGACATTGTATGCAATTCGAAGCTAAAGGGCTTGCAGGACCATCACTTCCGCCACCTGCCCTATAGACTGTACCTCAAGTGCCTGATCTGCGGCACTTGCTACAATCATAAGCCGAATATAGCGGCACATTTAAGAGCCCGTCACAGCATTTATGATAAAGAGACACCGGCGATGATCACAAAACCTAAACAAGTGCTCGGCCGTCATAAGGATAATAGTAGGAAGAACCCCAAACTGACCTCTCCTCCTCCAGCTCCAGCCCCGGCAGTGGCACCGGCACCAGCACCGCCCTCACCACCTGCATGTTCCTCCTCTGCTGCTTCCTCTGCGAGTAGTCGTTCCCTTAAACCGCAGCCCGGTGGTTTGCCAGCCCGACCCGCTGGTCTCAACACGCTGGAGGACAGCATCTCGTACCACAATGCCGTGGACCTGGACTTCATCACGTACTTTTGCCCCAAGTGCAATCAGAACTTTGACTCTCATGCATTCTGGCGCAAACATATCGTGGAGCAACACAACTTTAACAGCCGTGAGGGCCTGAACTTTCGGCAGATCGACAACCATCACTACCTGTGCCTCGAGTGCTACAAACGGGTTACCGTAACGCACACCAAGGGTGCCATCGGGCAGCTTCAGTCGCACAAGTTCCGCCACCTGCCCCACAGATCCTTCAAGTGTTTGACTTGCGACGGTGAGTTTGTGCGCAAGCAAATGTTCTTCAAGCACCTGAACCGAGACACTAACCGGTGTGACAATCGTCCGCACCGGGATTTCGATGACGATGAGCCCGACCAAGACACGTTATTGAGCAGCATCTACCACCTATCGTGTCCGCAATGTGGTGACAACTTCAAAACTCACAATAAAAAGGAGTGGCGCGAGCACATCAACGACCACCATGGCTTGACCAAGCTGGAGCTTCTGCACATGAGCAAAGTGGGTGAGGACGTCTACCGCTGCCAGGACTGTAATGAGGAGCTGGAAACGAATCGACAGTGGGTGCTACAGTTCCATCGATTCCAGCACTTGCCACACGCGGCCTACATCCGTTGTAAACTGTGCAAGCAGAGCAGTGAAGACGGTGCTGCCGCGGCGGGTGAGTTGCACAGCCTCCGTGAGCTGCAACAGCACATTCGTAAGCACCATCCGGGTATGGGGGATGCCGAGATGATATCGCTCATCGAGCAGATAATCCAGGAGGAGAAGGAGCAGGAGGAGAGCACGGAGCAAACTAATGACGGTGAAAATCATACTGGTCAGGATTCAGGACCGTATATGCCATTGCCGCCACATCTATTGGACGATGATGGCGACGTGGAATTTGAAGATCAGTATCTGCTCGGCTAGTATTAACGAATAAGAATTTTTGGGTTTATTTGAAAAAAGATCCTAGTGGCAAAATGTAATCTTTCGACCATGCCATACAATTCTGTTTTATTTTAAGAAGTAGCTTAGAGCTGTCAATATTCTCAGAAGGTAATGTTTAATTTCTCTAACTCGAAAATGTCACTAAAATGCGAGTATATTGGATATAATTGCATATTACTAAAACTGTAGAAGTATATTTATTTTTTTTAATTCGGTGTTAGTTTAGTGTTTTATTGGAGAGTCGACAGTTCTGCGATTATCTTTTGCCACGAAGACCAACCCGTTTTTTATAACCCAAGTCGAAATAACCTAATCCACTTCCGCAACACCTGTACTTCCAGTGGCAGACAGATTCTGATAGCCGTCGTAATGAGCTGCCCTTTCACTTTCAAGAGATTAATTAAAGTATTCGTATAGTTTACCCATAGACACCGCCTAAATCTTATATGGACTCTTAGATCTAATTAATATCTAGGCTACTATTTTAATTATTAGCTGTAAGAACGCAACCTATTTATTTTCAATATAATCTCAATGAGCAGAAACGGATATTATCAAAATTATAATAAAGAAATTATAATTATATTTTCAACACCGCTGTTTGAGCTAATAAGAAATTAGTCTCGATTAATTTGGTCTTTGCACGTGAGCGATTATGCTCGTTTTGATAAATGTTAATAAATAAGACACTTAATTCTACAACCAGTTCAAATGAAAGTCTTTGATGGTTTTACTCATACAAAAAAAAAAAAAAAACATTTTGCTAATGTTTCGGTATATTTTGTTTTATTAGTATTCAAGTTTTTTATTATTTTTGCCTTAGATCGGTAACAAAACTGATCTCCAAACTTTCCAGGCTCGGGGGCACAACAGAAGTCGTTCGTAACGCATTATCGTAGGTAAATATCAACATTCTCGTCTCAGAGTTAATACGGATAAAGTAGTCAAAATTTCAAACTATATAATCCTCCAGTGCTTTTGTCAGCTGTCTCAGGGTGGTGATGATAATCATACGATATGTTCGGGGTCCTCAACTCAACGCTAATGCTACAGGTTTTAATGTTACACGATATATAATAATAAATATGTAATAAATACTTTTGGAAAGCATAAACAAATTGCACACTCATAATAATTGCCACTAAATGAATAATACGAAAACAAATACCGATACAAGTCCAGCCCGAATGAGCTCAACAAAAGAATGGTCTTAAAATTAGCAAACTGATTGCATGGAATGATGTCTCCGTAATTGACTGACCAACTGACTGAACCAGTTCGGGGTCACTCGCATCCACTCGCTTTCACTTTGTGCACGACCTGCCTCCTATTAGACTTAAAACGTACAAATCTTATGCAACTATGCATGGTGTGTGTTGTTTGTGTGTTTAGTAACAATTTGTTGAATTAGTAGTAGTTGCGGTTCCTCACAGCGTTGGCATATTGCGTCGATGTCCGTTGCCGGAACCGCTGGACTCCGCATCCTGCTGCGCCTTCTGTTTGGCACGTCGAGCCTTTTGGCGTGTGTGCTCGATCTGGAAGTCCTCTACGCGCAGATTCAGCCGCATCATATTGTTTATGATGAACTCCTCCTCCACGATGTGCTCCTCGGGCGACCGCAGAACCGCCAACGTCTCGCAGAGACCAGTGCACGTCTTTCGCACCTTATGTCGGCTTAGCGAAGCCCCAATAATGACCAGTGCCACCTTGAAGATCACCCGGATGCCTTCGGCCAGGAAGCAATCCCATACTCGCAGCAACGTCTCCCAGGGCAGAGTGCGCGTCATCGCACACAGGAACCAGTCGGTCATGTAGAGCAGCGGCTCCACTTTGTGCTTCTGTAGGTGCCGGTACACGGGCGGGCATGTCTTCTTCAGCAGACCCTCCAGGATGCCTGCATCGTTCTGGATCACCTCCAAGCCGGGTATGAAATAGTCCTGCAGGTAACTGTAAAAATAAACAAGTTAAATCTAATCCCGAGAAAACGACCATACGACTGGACTTACACATCGCACACGCTGACGAACACCCAGAAGGCGTCCTCTGCGGGCAGGTGCATCAATAGGAACGCTGCTATCGGTGCCTGCGCCTGGCAGAAGCCAACCTTGGGATTGTATATCGAGTAGGCTTTTAGCACATTAAAGAGCTCGATTTGTCCGACCTTCTGCTCGTCGAGAAACATTTCATGGAACGGGAACTGGCGATGCTTATCCTTTTTGATCTCTTCGATGGTCGTCGGGTTACCGGGCTTTTCCAGAAGCTCGTTGTATACGTTGGGGTTCTTCTTCTTTAGCAGATACGCCCCCGATAAATAGAACCAAGCTTTGGGTCGCACCGACTTGGGTATGCCCTTGCGACAGCGATCTCGGATCTGCACGATACAAATACACACATTAGATTGGTGTGGTATAATAATTAAAGTTTCTAATACTAGTAAATATAATATAAGCTTCACCGTTCCCATTTCATAGGCTTTAAGAAGAGCCTAAATGGGAAACTATTTATATTTTTTTTTACATATTTGGTTTGAACAACATAAAAGTGAGATCACTGCTCTTTAAATAAACAACATTCGATGTTACCTTTTTGTAGTTTTTGGACATGTAAATGGACCAGTTGTCGATCATGTAGAGCCACTTTTTCTCCCGCGCGATGATCTGCGCCTTGGACAGCGGCTCCTTGGGCTTGTCTGTGCGCTGGAAACCGCCATAGAAGCCATTTCGGTCCGGGCAGCTGGAAACGGTCGAGCAGAGGGAGATGGTGTCCAGGGATCGCGGTGCCGTGGCCATCGCCAACGCCAGCTCTCCGGCTGCAACAGCGGTGAACTGAAAGCACAAATCGTTACACGATCAGCATGTACGCCCACTAACAGCACCCACTAATTGTGTATGCAAATTCCCTGATTCAACGGCATAGATAAATAGCCGGTCGAGAGCCTCTCTGTGCTTGAATAACAACAAGTGCGCAATTAAGTGGACTACTGCTCTTCTTCGCGCTAGAGAGCAAATCGTAATTTTGATGCCCCACATTATTTTCGGCAATCTCAAACCGTTATCGCTATCAGAACCAGGTTGGGTAACGTAATTTTGGGCTATTTTGGGGTGATAAATACTAATTCAGGGTCACACCACATCTTCGTGGAGCAGTTCCAGTCGGCTGAGACTACAGCCCGGTGGAAAAAGATACAGAAAAGGCATTGTCCACCAACTGAGCGGAAATCTGAATCGTTCGCTATGTAATTTTACAGCCAAGAGCGCCGTAAACAGCTGTTGATTGGGTCCCTAATCGGACATAAGAGCTGGAACGCGGTAATTACTCATCCGCAGCAGATGCCCTTAAACGGAATAGTATAGTGAAAGTAGGAGTACTTCTATATTCACGCGATTCTTCCATGTCTAATGACAGTGGAGCACGGGCTGTCGCCGGTGGCACTTCCACTTCCACATGCATCGCCGGATGCTCGAGTTTTGCTTAATGAACAACTCGCTTCACCTCAGCGGCAGCCACAAAAACAAAAACAACAGCTAATTGAGGCAACTGTGTCTGCGCCAGAACAAGAGGCTGAATAATTGCAACCGCCAGACAAAAGAAGCCAGAAAGAAGGGCTATTAATTTGCAGAAACGAGGCTTTTGATACCCAGTACAGTTCCCACTCGGGAATAATACAATTTTGGCGGAGATCAAATGCTTTTGCCAACTATTATCGCGTTCAAATATTTAGGAATAGCAGGCATTTTTTGATAATCATTTTCCTTAAGGTGTGTTTTGAATTATTAAGTTAACATACATCATCGACGACTAAGCTTGCTTCATTATATGTACATTCAAAGTTACCGATCAGAGTCTAATATGACTGCAATTACATGTTGAGCCACAAACCATCATACCCTCTCTAAAAAAGGGTGGCAAGTCAGCGAAAGGGAAAAATCTCAATGCAAACGTACTGCACAAACACAAATGCAATCTGGCAAAGGCTTCGAGATACGCGACGAAATGCGACCTCCGAGGCCTACCGATCGTGGAACGGAACGAGAACCCTTATCGAGTCGCGGGTGATATAAAGCAAGATCGCAAACCACGGCGGCGGCGCGTCAGCTCAGAGGGTGGGCGGGCGTTTGGACTGGTTGCTTGTGGGGGAGGTGGTAGCGAGTTGGAGACACAAGTATTTTGGCTCATTCATTTCCTAACTTAACTGACAATTTGGCTGCCATTTTGCCTACGCGCTCCGAAATGAGTAAACCAGTGCCTGAGTGTGTGTGTGCACAATAAGGGGCAATTGTTGTTATTAACAGCTAACCGTTACCACACCGCCCGCCCCCACATTCACATGTAAACTTTTTGCCTCACCTTTTGCTATGCTGTTCTCGTTGTTGTTGTTGTTGTTGCTGCTGCTGCCTCTGCTGGTACTGTTGCTGCCGTGGAATGCGCAATGGGCGATATTTTACTGAGGCGATTTGGGTTCCTTTTTCGTTTGGGTTTTCCACCACACACTTGCGCCAGCACAAATGTGTTGGATTTTATTGTGAAAACATTATTTCCGCAGAGCTTTTTGTTTATTTTCTATGCAAAATAAGGGAGAGCGAGATTGGCGATGGCAACGAAGCGACTACTGTGCGATAGCCGTTATGGTTATCGATATTCGGTGGCGCAGAAAAACCTGGTGGCAACGTTAAAGTTTAGGCGTTTTCTGTGTTTTTTTTTTTTGGCGCTTTCTTCGCTTTATTTAAACAATTGTAATTAAAGAACCGTAATTCATTTGGGAAGCTGCAACATCCACTTGGAGCCCACTTTAAGCTGTGTCAGTCGCCACAGTAGCAGCCAGAGAACTGGAAATGCCTGGACCACCGCAAACTCAGCGAGTCTGCTGAGGATCTCCATCCAAGGACCAACATCAGTAACCCCGTGCAGAAGCACTAGCGACATCGCACTGTTCATAAGCAACAGCCTCACAAAGATTTGCCGTTCGAGTGAAGCCAGATTCTTGTAGTTTCCCGCCAGTATACAGAGCACAAGCAGCCAGGGAAGGATTAGCTTCAACACCATAACCAGGCCGTAAGTCAGCGGTGAGTATCCAAAGCAGGTCTCGTGCAAGATATCCAGGTAATCATCGAAGGCCGGAAAGCTGCCAATGACGAAAAGGGAGTACCAGCTGTACACTAGTATGTAGTGGGCGGCTGTCTTCGGACCGATGCTTTCATTTCTGTTCAGTTTCATCCGCAGGGCCAGCTGCAACTCCATGGCCAGCATTTGGATGACCACCGATTCATAAGAAGTACAGGTAAGGGTGTACAGAGTGCTCAGGTTGAAGAAGAACACCTCGCTGGCCTGCAGATTGCGTCTCTGCCAAATGGCCACAAATCCCAAATAGATCCAGGATACCATATACGTCACCCACGGATGCCAGCCGATCAGTATGTACTCCAAGGCGGCGAGGAAAACCAGTAGATTGCTCAGCCACGTGAGGAGGTTGAGGTACACCCCACAGGCCAACGGACGCAGAATAGTTAGAAGGATACTAAACATAAGGGCACTGGGCTGGGAACAACCCAGCGATTCTGGAAGGGCTGATAACCCGGTGAGCCCAAGGAGAAGGAGCAGCCACAGGTAGAACTGAAGTCCACGTCTCTGGAAGGCATCTCTGTTGTTATAGGAAGCAAATCCAAAGTAGCCCACTGCCAGGATGTACCGTCGTAAAAAGCCACCCAAGCAGATTAAAGCCAGTAATATAGTGGATATCAAACTTTTACGGCATACCATTTTTGGTCTCTCACCCATAACTTTAAGCGTCGTCATCCAGTACAGTGAGGGGATGAGCAGAATCGCCTGTACCACCAATGGAATTCTTTCGAGCATCATCAAAATCACCAGGAGACCAGTAAGCAATCGATGAAATCCACGGGCATACACCAAACGTTTGGAGGAGGTTACCTCCTGGATTTCCGTTTGCACTCTGCACTTCTTTCCCACTGTTAGATGACAGCGCAGGCAATATATCCAACCGATTCCAGCAAAACTCACTGCTATAACCAAAACATGTCTATAGTAATCCTTGAAGTAGTCCATTCCCATGATCAGCACGGGCATAAAATTGCAGCTATAATCCAAGAGAGCCCTGAAGCGTCGCTGCTTCTTGAGGGCTAATGACTCCTTTAAAAAGTTATCCATCATTTGAAAGTTTAGCCAGAAGGCGGGTAACTTCTTGGGATGGAGTTCCCTAAGCCGGCGAGCCTGTGCGAGAAGCTGCTTGGCATTGGTCAGCATAGCATTGGCCTCATAGCGCAAGCTGGAGTTAAGCATTCCCTTGGGCAGCATTCCGCGGCTATACACGGGTGGTGGGACTCCTAGAAGGGCACTCATTAAAGCTGTCAGGTGAGGAGGATTGAGGACATGCAAGGGCATCCTGAAGCCCGTCTCGTTGGCTACAAAGCTGCGGCCGGGCATGGATTTAATGTGATTTACGCCAGATCCCCAAAGAAAGAAGGGCGATTCAACTGCCACACTGGACTCTCCTAAAAACGGGATACTCAAGGACTACAAATATTTTAAAAAGATAATCTAGTGTCTTACTTTTTGCTTGTGGATCGCCAAGATTGGATGTAAATAGGTAGGCGGTTCTGTGATCGGGAAAAGTTTTCTCAAAAATTGTATAGAGCTTATACACGTTTTCTTGAATCCGTTGGAGGCTTTCACAAGATGATTTCACACTGGTCATATGGATAAAAAAAATTACTTCTGAGGAATTTAACAAGAGCCGGGATCCGCCGCGTAGAAATCTTTGAACAGACCGACATACAAAATCTTCCAATTCGGAGCACGACTTGGTAACACCTTCTCCAAATGTTTCAAAAGAGAATTCCCTTGATCTTTCGATTTTTGGAAAGCGTGAGATTAGTTCTGTCGTTGTCCATGCAAAACTGCGTTTACACCGATCGAATATAGAGTCAATGGGTGCTGAATTTCCTACCCAGTCTCGTGCCACCCTGACTGCATCCTCATTAAATCCGGAAAACAAGGATATATATGGAGATATAGAGTGGTAGGTGGTTTTCTCCGGACGACTAACTCCAACCAGACCCTGGTGCAAGAAGAGTTCCTGCAACAGTGGGACGTTTGTGCAACGGTTGGCCAGAAAAGTCTGAGCAGATAATCCGTCCCTTACGAGAACCACTAGTCGATCTGCCGGCGGAGGCTCTTTCAATGGCTCCACTTCCTGCGGCTCCAAGCTGCCCGTGGATGGGGATCTAATATAGATCAAAACTACTGAGAAGAGTAAAAGCAGCTGGAACAGCACAAAACTCTTATTTGATTCCAACATTATGCAAGATATTGAATTTCCTTTCAAGTTCTAACTCAATTAATTTGCAATAAATGCAAGGGTTGCTATGGAATTTGTATTTTTAAGCCACCTCATCGATAAGTCAATCATTCTGTTCTGAATATTTCAGAGATGAAGCTGGCCCTTCTTCAAACGTTTCTCTGGTGCTTCTATTCAGTTGTCGTCAATGTGTCGTTCCTATTGTACCGTCGCCTCACATATCGACTAGTGGGAAAAATACTAATCCTGATGGAGCTGTGGAAATCTAAGGTGGTGCTGGTGCACCTCCTGCTGCTGGTGTGCCTGCTGCGCATCTATTATCAGTCCGGACCACTGGTTCCACTGGAACCGCAGAAGACATTACTGGAAATGGGTCTGCCACCACCCGCTGATCGCTTGGTGGTCTTCCTTCTCGAAGGACTCCGGGTGGACACGTTCTTTTCGGACAACTGTAGTGGGGCTGCCTACATGCGGGATATAATCATGCACCAGGGACTCATCGGCATATCTATGACTAGTGTTCCAACTCTGACCCGATCTGCGGAAGTCGCCCTATTCGCTGGATTCAATAAGATACCATCCATACTGTCGACCGATAGGTTCGATACGATTTTCAATCGCACTTTGGCTTCCGACAAGGGTGTCGTTCTCAGTATCTCGGATCTATCAGATCTTCGGCTCCGGCTGACGAAACGGACCTGCTTGGAAAAGTTGAGAAACTCAACTAGACTGGTGATGCTCGTAAACCTGGCCGAAGTCGGTGGAGCTAGTCCCTTGGATATTGGCTATCAAAAGAAGCTGCACAATACGCAGCGGAAAATCCGAGATGCATATGAACTAATTGAGAGCACCTTTAATGACTCGAAAACAGCATACCTTTATACCTCGGCACACGGTCTCACTTATTTCGGTAAGTGTACTTTTAACCTCATTTTACTCACTTTAAATACTTGCACAATTCTGGGATTTCAGGCTCTCATGGTGGCGGATCGGACGAAGAGCGAGAGACGCCCTTCTTTCTTTGGGGTGCCGGAGTTAAGCACATAACCACAAATATAACCTCTGACTTTGTGATCAACCATGGCGCTAGTCTGCAGCTCCACAAGCTGGACCAGATCCAGTTCGCTCCGCTTATGTCTTCCATAATTGGCCTACCGCCTCCGGTAAACAATCTGGCCATTCTGCCCCAGGGTTACATGAAGGTGTCCCGGGAATATGCGCGAAAGGCCATACACCTGAATGCTCTGCAACTTCTGAGCCAAGCCAAGGCCATCATACGACGTCACGAACAAGGAGTTTTCCACAAGTGGCTGCCAAAGGGTAAGGATTTGGATCTGCAACAAATTGCCTACTATCAGCAACAGATGGACCACCTCATTGATATGGGTTGGCGAAGTAAAGCCCTGGAGACGAGCACGCTGGCAATCAAGGTGGCTCAAAAGTCCCTGAAGTTCTACTATGGATACTATCACATTCCACTCGTGGTGACCACGGTGCTGGCTCTACTGGGCTGGCAATTCTACCTATTGCTGAAGCTATCTCGGCATTCAATGGACTCCCAGGATATGCGCGTGGGCTACCTCACTTGGTACACGATCTTCCTGGCTTCGATGGGACTTTTGCTGGGCGAAATGGTCTTTTTGCAATGGGCTCCGTTCCTGACGGTCATCTGTTTGGTGGTACCCTTTGGCGTCTGGTGTGTGACCTTGGCCGCATTACCCCAGAAGGGTGACTGGATCTTCGAGCCACTGAAGCACCTAAGATGGATAGTGGCACCAGCTGCGGTTATTATTGCGGCGCTTTACTGCAACTGTCCTTTGGGTCTGGCCTATGTCCTCTGTGTTGGCTTCTACAATCGACGTGGTTGGGTGCATCCTTCGCCAAAGTTCCTGGCCTGGTTGGCTCTCGTTTTTCTACTGAGTGGATTCCTGTGGTCTCAGAAGGGAATGCAGGTCCTAATGACCACCAACTATCGTGTGGTCCTGCAGACGATCAGCATGTTGGTGGTGATTGTGCGTCCCTGTGTCCTTAACGAGAATCACAAGTGGAAGGTGTGGATCATCAACGGAGGAATACTGGTTGTTGCAGCCATTGGAATCTTCCTCAAGGAGATGGGCAAGCCGGTTCCCATATACCTATTAGCTGCCAACTGGGCGTATCTCATCTATGCCTTCGCATCGGTGCCCTACATTACGAGGACCACACCCCAATCTCGCCTAGAGCTGATTCGCTTCAACTTGCTCACGCTCCATGTACTATTGAGTGATTCATATGTCTCCCTCTTCGCCCAGGGCTTGATCATCGAGTACCAATTGGGACTCGAGGTGCACGAGGAGTGCGTGGAAGCAGATGAGGATGTTGAGATCAAGGTAAATGGGATACTCGCTCCTTCGAAGCATCTACAGCTGTGCTATCGCTTCGCTGTGTCCATTCTACTTTACTTCTATGTCTCCCTATTTGGAACTGGACACTGGATGGGTAGCTTCACCTACTTGGCCAACTCGGCTAGGCTGTTTCTTCCAGATTCCTGCAGTCGACTAATGCCGTACCTAGTGCTCATCCATTTGCTAATTCCCTCAATAGTCATTTTGGCCAGCGTGCAGGCACTGAGCTCCTTTGGACGACAGGAGATTCGCTCGATTTTCTCCAGTTTAATGCTCATTTGCAACACCGTTGTTTTGTTCTTCGTATTGTTTGTTCCTCATAACGCCTATTGGCCAACGGCACATCCATCCGTAATTCAAGCACTCTTGGCTCAATTGACGGTCGTTTTGCTTTTGGCTTGCGATTCCATGGTCACCCTGTTCTTTCGTGGACTAAACAAGAACAGACCTTCAGTCTCAAAACAAGAAGCCGAAGAAATTCAGTCCAAGAGAGCCATGGCCAGCTGCCCCACGATTATATCAAGTAATGTCTAATGGGGGAATCAAAGTGCTTGGAAATTATCGTAATGAAAAACAAATTTATGGTCTACATGTTTTAAACTTTATAAAGCTTTCACTAAACTTCTACACTTTTGAGACTGTATATTTAACCGTTCGTTGGGCTGATTCATTACATTATGCTCTATAAGAATTGGGTTTTATAAGTATGTATGTACGGTTCAAAGGTATAATACTTTAAGTAGAAAACTAGCTTAAATGCAGCTGGTTGGATTAGGTACAACTTAGCAGACGCGTACAGCCAGAAAATGAGACCTTTTTGGCTTCCAGATTAGCAACCATTTACCAGATCCTAAATCTACCCCGATTTTGGTTTCTTTGATTCAAAGTGGGCCTGCAAATGATATAAATTTGATATACCAGAAATCAACTCAAATTAATTGATGACTTACCTTTTCGGCTACCTTTAGAAGGCTGTCGAATGTGTTTTGTCCAGTTTCCATGACCATTCCATGGAAGATCTTCGAGTCGCTGGAGGTGAGAAGTTCGTACGGAGATTCAAACTCTACAAGATGACCAGCATCCATGACCAGAACACGATCTGAATCCATTATTGTGTTCAAACGATGGGCTATCGTAAGCACTGTACAGTCCCGGAATTTGCTTCTTATTGTTGCTTGAATCAGTGCATCGGTTTGCGGATCCACATTGGCCGTTGCCTCATCCATTACCAGGACGCGATTCTCTCGGAGAATCGCCCTGGCCAGGCACACTAGCTGGCGTTGGCCCACACTGAAGTTACTGCCGCCTTCGGATATCTTGCTCTGCAGTCCACTGGGCAGTTCAGCAATTAAAGGTTTCAGTTTCACCTCCTCCAATGCATCCCACAGCTTTGCATCGTTGTACTCCTCAAAGGGATCCAAGTTGTACCGCATGGAGCCCGAGAAAAGCACAGGCTCCTGCGGTATTATGGATATCTTGCTGCGCAGATCAAAGAGCCCTATGTCAGCCGTATCCTTATCGTCGATGGTAATGATGCCCTCGTTGTAGGAAAGACGGAACAGCGCGTTGATCAGCGAGGATTTGCCAGCTCCAGTGCGTCCCACGATGCCCACTTTCTCGCACGGACGGATATGAAAATTGAGCGCCTTGAGGACGTACTTCGCCTGCGGATCCGGGAAGTAACGAAGGCACAGGTCCTCCGCGATAATCTCACCCGTTTCCGGCCAACTTGGAGAGGGTTTCTTGCCCGGGCGTGACTCGAATTCGCCCTCAGGTTCGATCTCGTCGTACTCCACAACGCGTTCCACTGCGGTCATGGTGTTCTCCAGTTCTGCCGACTGTCGCATTCCCCACTGCACCATACCGGTCATACCCATTGCCTGGGTAATGGCCAAACCCACTTCACCAGGACTTTGCGGTGGGTTTACAAAGTAGTTGAGAATGATGATCACAATATACAACGTGCAAAAGCAGTCCAGATAATAACCAAAAGCGCGATTCGTCGCCAGGAAGGTATAATATCCAGAGCTGTGCAGGTCCTGCAGATTGTCGAACTCAGCAATAAGTTCCTTTTGAGCTCCTAAAGCTCGTATTGTTGGCAATCCGGTAATTGTGGCACTTAGATGAGAGTATATAGGTGATCTAGCTACCGCCTCCAACCTTTTCACATCCCTCGATGTCTTTAGATAAAACTCCCTGATATAGTAAAATATTATGGCCAAGGCCAAGGTTAAAATGAGGTAGTACGGATTAGTTATGCAGATCACAACAATAATGCCAAGTAGTGTGAGAAAGATTTGCACCACGTCCAGCATAACGCTTGGCAGGACCTCGTCCAGCTGGCCGAGATCCTTTGAGAATCGATTAAGGATGCGTCCCGAAGGATTCGTGTTGAAGAAGTACATGGCCGCCCTCGTAATGCCCTGGTACATGGCATTGTGCAGCTGCGTGGAACTGCGCATGGCCATCTTGTAGAAGAGCATGGTCCGTACAATGGTGAACACCACCACAGCCACATTGAGCGCGGCAAAGTAGTACATGTCCTGCGGATCCGTGTTAATATCTGTTTGACCGTCCACGTTCTTGTCCACCCTGTTGAGGCAAGAAAGTCACAAATTATCTGCATCTTAT